ACAATAAATCAAATAACAATTTACATTCGAACTTATGTTGCGAATCAATGAATGTAGATTTAATCAATCGACCATTCTTCAAGACAGAAGCGCCTAAAGTACTACGTACTGCCAATTCAATCTCGTAAAATGGGATGTCGTTTTTCATTTCCCCAATTTAAGGGAAAAATGTATCCGTAAACCAAAGAGTGAAACATTAGTCCATCGCAATTCTTTAGTGTCGGCGTTAAGATCGAAATCCAGGTACGGTTGAGAAAACGAATTAGTAGCACTAAAGCAACTTTTAGCAGTAAATATTGTAAGGTTAATGGTACTGTCTGCACCTTTCCGTTTTTGTAGTCCATTATCAATGCATATTTCAAAGCCGAACTTCTTGTTTATTCTATTTTATTTAAAAAAAACATCACATTTTTCAGGAGATATCAGTGGAGCTGGAGATATCTAAACACGTATAGGGATGGATGCTAGTAATTTTGATCAAAATACATGCTAAAATGAGTAAAACGGAGTACCAAAGCACAACGATTGGCATATGATTGGGGCAAATTAAATCTTCTCCATATAAAAGCCTATTCCAGTGCCCAAGTCCCTGGCACTGCTTACTCTCCAGAGAAGTATGGTTTATTTGTTTTGTAAAATGTTTATTTTATTGCGTCATTGTACTATAATGCGTGTGTAATAATGAAAATTTATTTTGTATGCTATCTCAGAAAATTATGTGTCGATTGGAATTCCAGTAAAAGTAAAACGCAATCCATATAAAGTTTGTTTTTGGTGTTAAATGAAAATTTGAATTAAGAATTTCCGGAAGAATCAAGTTTTCTTTATTTATTAAAAATAAAAATTTTTTGAAGTTTGTAATATATCGGGTTTGTTACAAGGTTTCATTTTCTAGATTCCCTTTTCTGTTTATTGTTCTTATATTCCAGGTCCCTAACCTTAGAGGTGAATTGTTTCCTACCTTCTTTCCTTTAACTCTTCTCTCACATGTGATCATGGGGTCTAGAATGGGGTCAAATATCAGAAACGGTGGCCCAAAAATATTTTTTCGCGACACCACTAGATTCTACGTAAACATATCTAAAATAAGCCGTTTTTACCTTTTTTCTGTCTTACATGGGTAGTAAGATACGATAATCAAAAGAATCTGAATAATTGGAAACCAGGCCGTTGGCGCAGTTGAGTTGAAGCTCGGCTGTGGTACTAAGGGTTCCTGAGTCGAATCCGGGTACGGGCATGGATATAAATAAAAAAATTAATAAATAGAATTCGAAGAATAGGAGAATCTGAAGGAATTTTAATGCTTCTAAATAATCACCACGATACTAAGTGCCAAAACAACCTGAACACATGATGAATCCAAATAGTATGAACAACCGGAAGAATCCATAGAAGCATACGAATCTCTAGAATTTTAAATACCAAAGGAATTAAAAAAATATTAAGGACCTGGAAAGGATATGGAATTGCAGAATTTGAAGGACCTGAAGATATCAAGGAAGTGAAAAAAAAAGAAACGGTCATAAAGAAAATTTAAAGGTCGTTGAATTACGAAATACTGAAGAATTCGACATCCTGAAGACATTGATGGTCATTACGGTCCTAAAAATTATGAAGAGACGGGAAGACTGAACAATGTGAAACGTCTAAGAAACGAGAAAATGTGAATAACTTTATAAAATTTGAAGAATCTAAAACTAAATAATATCAAATATCCACAGAAATGGATTTTAAAGAATCCTGACATTAAAATGAGGCCACAATAAAAGAAGAATCCCAAAGAATAGAAAGGACCTGAAAAACCTAAAAAAACTATATGAAATCTAAGATCATGTTTCTTTTATCGCCTTGTTTGTTTTAGATATTGTTCTATTCAGTGTCATCGGATTTATGGCTCAGTGGTAAGAGCATTGGGTTATAAATCCGAAGGTCGGGTGTTCGAACCTGGGTTGAGGTGAATTTTTCATCTGTGGCGAAGATGGAAATTACCTTAGACCAGTTCCGAGCATTCTACCGGCTACTCCGAATT